TTTGTAACTCTTTCTTTGATTTCTTGGTCAGCCTTTTTATTATCTGTATATAGTAGGGCTACTGATTTTCTTGAGTTGATCTTGAATCCTGCCACTGTGCTGAAGGTGTTTACCAGCTGTAGGAGTTCCTTTGTAGAGTCTTTTGGATCACTTATGTTAACTCTGATATCATCTGCAAATATTGAAAATTTAACCTCTTCCTTTCCAATTTGTATTCCCTTGATCTCCTTTTGTTGTTTTGTTACTCTGGCAAGAATTTCAAGAACAATATTGAAGAAATATGGAAAGAATGTACAGCCTTGTCTTGCTCTACATTTTAGAGGAATTTCTGTCAATTTAGTTTGATGTTGGCTGTTGGTTTGCTGTATATAGCTTTTATTATGTTTAGGTAAGTTCCTGTTATCCCTGATCTCTCTAAGACCTTTAGTATGAAGGCATGTGGGATTTTTGTCAAAGTGTTTTCAGCATCTAGTGAGAAGATTATGTTATTTTTGTTTCTCAACTTGTTTATATGGTTGATTACACTGATGGATTTTCCTATGTTGAGCCATCCCTGCATCCCTGGGATGAAACCTACTTGATCATGGTGGATGAGTTTCCTAATGTGGTCTTGATTCTGATTTGCCATATTTTATTGAATAATTTTGAATCGATGTTCTTTAGGGATATTGGTCTGAAATTCTTTCTTAGTTGTGTCTTTGTGCGGTTTGGGTATCAAGGTTATTGAAGACTGGTAAAAGAGTTTGGTAAAGACACTTCTGATTCAATTGCATGGAATACTTTGAGGAATACTGGTATAAGCTGATCTTTGAATTTCTTGTAGATTTCTGCACTGAGGCCATCAGGCACAGGACTTTTTTGGTTGTGAGACTTTTGATGGATGTTTCTATTTCGTTAGGGGCTATAGGTCTATTTAAATTGCTTATCTATTCTTGGTTTAATTTTGGAAGATGATATCTGTTTAGAAAGATGTCTATTTTTTTTAGTTCTGTGGAGTACAGGCTCTGAAAGTATGACCTGAATATTCTATGTATTTCCTCAGTATCTGTTGTTTCGTCCCCTTTTCATTTCTGATTTTGTTAAATTGCATGTTCAAATTCTTCTGTTTCCTCAGTTTGGAAAAGGTTTGTCTTTCTTGTTGATTTTCTCAAAGAAGCAACTCTTCATTACATTGATTCTTTGTAATGTTTTCCTAGTTTCTACTTTATTGAGTTCAGTCTTCAATTTGATTATTTCCTGGTGTCTACTCCTCCAGGGTGAGTTTGCTTCTTTGTGTTCTAGAGCATTCAGCTGTGCTGTTAATTCTCTAGTGTGACTATTCTCCAGTTTCTTCCTGTGGGCACTTAGCAATATAGTCTTTCCTCTTAGCACTGCTTTCAAAGTGTCCCATAAGTTTGGGTTTGTTTTGTCTTCATTTTCATTGAATTCCAGGAAGTCTTTAATAACTTTTTTATTTCTTCTGTGAACAAGGAGTGGTGCAATTGCTCTTTATTCAATTTTCATGACTTTGTAGGATTTCTGCTGTTTGTGTTGTTGTTGAATTCTAACATTAAAGCATGGGGGTATGATAAGATGCATGAAGTTATTCCAATTTTTTGTACCTATGGAGGCTTGATTTGTTACCAAGTATGTGGCCGATTTTTGAGAAGGTTCCTTGTTGTGCTGAGAAGAAGGTATATTCTTTTTTGTTCAGATAGAATGTTCTATAGATGTCTGTCAAACCCTGTTGGGTCATAACATCTATTAGTTCCTCTATTTCTGTTTATAAGTTTCTGTCTGGTAGTCCTGTCTAGTGGTGTGACTGGTTTGTTGAAGTCTCCTACTATTAGTGTGTGAGGTTTAATGTGTGGTTTGACTTTTAGTAATGTTTCTTTTACCAATGTGTTTGGGGCATAGATGTTTAGAATTGAATCTCCATTTTGGTCGATTTCTCCTTTGTTGAATATGAAATGACCCCTTTCATCTCTTTTGAATGATTTCAGTTTAAAGACTAGTATGTCAGACATTAGGATTGCTATGCCTTATTGTCTCTTGGGTCCATTTCATTGGAAAATCTTTTCCCAACCCTTATCTCTGAGGTAATATCTGTGCTTGAAGTTGAGGTGTGTTTCTTGTATCCTGTGGAAAGCTGGATTCTGTCTTTCAATACATTCTGTTGGCCTGTGCCTTTTTATGGGTGAGTTAAGACCATTAACATTGAGGGATATTAATGACCATTGAATGTTCATTGTTGTTTGTTTTGAAATGGTTGATGATGGTGCAGCCATTTTGGCTGTTGGTAAAGCGGAATTATCTATTTCCCATGTTTTTCTGGTTTTAGTTAACTTCCTTGGATTTGAGTTTTCCTTCTAGAACGTTCTGTAGTGATGGTTTAGTGGATACTTATTTTTTAAATCTGGTTTTGTCATGGAATATCTTGTTTTCTCCATCTATAGTGATTGAAAGCTTTCCAGGGTCTATTAGTCTGGACTGGCCTCTGTGGTCTCTTAGTGTTGAAGTGTTGATGGAATATTTATCTATACAGGACATTCTTGCTTTCAGAGTTTCTATGGGGAAGTCAGGTGTGATTCTGACATGTTTGCCTTTATATGTTATTTGACATTTTTCCGTAGTTGCTCTAAGTATTCTTTCTTTATTCTGTATGCTAGGGATCCTGATTATTATGCGGCAAGGGGACTTTTTTGTGGTCCACTCTATTTGGGGTTCTGTAGGCTTTTTGTAACTTCATTGGAATGACTTTCTTTAGGTTGGGAAATTTTTCTTCTATGATTTTTTTGAATGTGATTTCTGGCCCTTTGAGTTGGCTTTCTTCACCTTCTTTTATACCTATTACTCTTATGTTTGGTCTTTTCACACTGTTCCATAATTCCTGGATATTTTATGTTAGGGATTTGTTGGACTTCAGATTTTCTTTGGATGATGAATCTATTTCTCCTAGTGTGTCTTCAACACCTGAGATTCTCTCTTCTGTCACTTGTATTCTGGTTGTTATGATTGCATCTGTAGTACCTGAACTTTTCTCCAGTTTTTTCTATTTCCACCATTCCTTCAGTCTGAGTTTTTTTTTTTTTTTGTCTCCATGTCAACTTTCAACCCTTGCACTGTTTGAGTTTTTCTTGTAATTTTTGCTTTGTGTTTTCCTCCCTTTCTTGCCTTTGTTGGATATTTGATTTGTTTTTTATTCCCTTTCTTTAAGGGATTTTCTCATATCCTGGTTGAGGGCCTCTATCATTTTCATTAAGGTGTTTTTAAGGTCATTCCCCTCTGCTTCATTTGCATTGGGGTGTTCATGTTTGCTGGTGTGGAATCTCTAGACTCTGCTGGTGTCACATTAGTTTTTCTCTTGCTGAGTGTGTTCTTATATTTTCTCTTTCCCATCACTTCTTGCAATGGGTGTAGAAAGAGCCGCTACCTCTCTTGGTGGGTAGACAAACAGGGATCACTTTCTGTGGGCACAAGAAAATCCAATACTTTCTTGCCTCTGCTCTCTTGCTCTGCCTTCTGCATGCAGTGTGGGCATGAGTGGATGTGCTCTCTCACAGGTTCCTGTTTGCTTGGTCTTCCATTGGGGGTGAGTCAACCTGGCTCCAGACCCCAGGCCAGGGGATCTGAGAGAGAGTGAGAGGGGGAATTTGGGTCTAAGATGGAGGCCCAGATCTGATTGCAGTCTTCTGCCCTGTGTGTGGGAAGAAGTGAAGCATCTCTCTCTGTAGGCTCCTGGTTGCTTGTTTGTCCATCGGGGGCCAGTCAACCTTGCTCTGGTACCCAGGCCAGTGGACCCAAGAGGAATTTTTTGGGGGGACAGGATATCTCTGTAGTCCTGGCTGTCCCAGAATACACTCTATAGAAGATGTTGGGCTTGACATCACAGAGACCCATCTGTCTCTGCCTCTGCCTCCCTAGTGCTGGGATTAAAAGTGTTTATCACCATCACCCTGCCTTGTGTGCTCTTTCTATTCTTAGTTGCACCCTTCCCCCATGGGAGTCTGCTGACCAGCATGTGACCAGGAGCTTCTAGCAAAAGACACTTTGTCCCCTCCTGCCAGTTAAGCCTACATGTTAATTCTTGTTATGCTCCCATCCTTTACCAGAGACCCCTGGAAACTTGAGCTCTTGGCCTTGGCAATTTTCTACCATGCCTGCTACTGATATATAATGCTCTGATCTTGTAAAAATAAATGCCGTTCTCCTTTGAAGTTTGAGCCTCTGTATTTGTCTTCATTTTAAACCTGAGCCCTTCAACCAGATCATTGAGAAGTCTTTTAGCCCTGTAAACACACCATTTGCTAAATTTCTTGATTTAACAGAGGAATAGAAACTATGGTCATGTTGCTGACGTTCTAATACCTCTAGTATCCAGGCTCCAAACTAGAAGAACACTGGCTCAGATGGAGACTAAGAATGCCAAGTGACCCTCAGTCACAAAGAACCTGGCTGCAGTGTCTTCTTCTTTCTGTGGATGAATTGACTTGAAAGGGGTTCAGAACCTCACTATATGAATACCATATGTGTTCTATTTGCTGTGACTAATGTGTGTTGTGGGACTACAGCTTCATAGTTAAAATATGAAACATTTAAGAGCAAGAAGATTCCTCATAGTCACTTTAGGCTCCTAGCCTGTGACTGACAACCCTTGTGAGCACAAATAGACAATAAATTCTTTGTACCTCCACACTTTCTAGGTGTTAGGAATCAGGGTCTTGTGTTGAAATGCCATCTGATGGTAGTCACATCACTCCCCAAGGATGGTTCTGTGCAATGTGTGATAAGCCAGTGTCCTTCACAGTTAGTACAGTGTATGAAGTTAGCAGGCATCACAATGCCATGTGGGAAAAGGGGGATTTGGTTTATTAATAAAGAACAATGTAAATACAGAGGAATAAAAATTATCTTAATGCTACCTGATACAATGAAATAGCTGTCTTGGCTACTCTCTTAGTGAATAAAGACAGAACTTACAACCAAACAGTTAACAACCAGGTCTCAGGTCAGTCAGGTTTCTAGGCAAGGTTAATGTTCAAGGGGTGCCCAACACCTCCTGTCTGAGTATCCTGGGATGCAATCTTCTGTGTTTCTCCAAAATCATCTTTAACGGAGACCAGGGCTACACTGCTGCGTTCAGTTTCATACGTCTATACAAACAACCCACTAAATAGCCATAGGATGGAAAGTTAAGAGGGGAAATACAATACCATAACTGATCTCAGTTCATTTTGTTGCTGGCATGCCTTGGAAGATAAGTCTTAGAGCATACTTCATATGGTTACAGAACACCTTGACTATGACCTAATGCTGAGATTAATAACTCAGGACACAAGGGAAGAACATTCAGATTCCTAGTCTGACCATATGTTTAGAATTGTCACATATAGGCAAGTCAGTGGTGATCCTGTTTTGAGAGAGGCAGAGGTAGAAATGCAAAATTCCCTTTCTGATTGGACAAGACCAGTATCACTGTGCTCCCATTATACTTCAAGTCAAGCTTGTGTCTAGGGTGTGCATACCCTGAACAATATTTTGTTTCCAATACATGACACATTGTATGAAATCATGTTTTCTGGGACTCCATGATGCAAACCTAAACATTAGACTTTCATTTCTCAGTATCCAGAAGTAATCTTTTCCTATTTATTGCCAACACTGACAAAGTTTGGCCTCCATGTCATAAACACAGCGCCTACAGCATTCAAGGCATATGATTGTAGCAAAAGCTATAGTCTTGGGCTGCCTTTTGACCAAAAGTATATCCAGGAGCTCAGAACATACTTGAGCAAATTTCTCCACAAGGACCAAACCCAGGGGGTCATAGCACTCTAGAGGGGCGGGGTAGAACTCTACAGTCATTTTTCTTAGATTTGCCACACTCTGTAGGAACTTCTTCAGTGCAACAGTGGTGAAGTCATTGTCATAGAAATTCACTGTTGTCAGCTGTGAGCATTGACTCAGAGCAGGCAAGAGGGCACTGAGCTCATAGTCCTCCATCCTGCAGTTCACTAACTCCAGGGACTTCAAAGTCTCTGCTGTATTCTCAAGGAGAACTCGGAGATGTTTGATACCTAACTTGGACATCACTACACCACTGAGATTCAGGTGTTTCAGGTGACAGAGTCCCTGACACTGTGACAAGTGTTTAAAGCCTGACTGGGAGAGATGGCAGACAGTGATGGTCAAGGTCTCCAAAGGGTTCTTCATGCATCTAGGGAAATAAAAATAAATTAGTGCATCATTTTAGAGGGCACTAAAAAGTTTGACACTGAGACAGAATTGACCTCATATGGAAAGTCAATTTAGCCTTATCCTGGAAGTCAGCACTTGGGATTCAACCTTCTGGTGCCTGTTCATATAGTTGACTCCTGAGGTATATTTGTAAGCTAGGATAGTCTCACAGAACATATTTCCAGCTGCCCATCCTCATTCTGTCAAATAGAACTAGAGTTTGTCACAGCAGGCCAGGAGCTCATACCCAGAGGATCATCACAGAAAGATTCTGGCAGCATCTTGGCATGTGTCCTGCATAGCTGATCCTGTGTTTCTTCCCACCAGTCATAGCCTCTATTCCTGATTTCAGTGCTCAACACTTGAAACTGTGATTCCCTCGCACCAGCATCAATCATCTTCTATCTACTAAGTCCCAACCTATGCTCATATTATCCTTCCCTCCAGGGGGACTTAGAGACTGAGACAGGCTCCACCAGAAGAACAAGCTGACCCCTATTCACAGATCAAAGTACAAAGTTCCTTAGCTTCTTATTCAGATGTGGGTACACCCCAGCTCAGGACTTGCTACTCTGCCCTGTTCCCTTCCTATTAGCATAGGAATGTCCAGAGCACACTCAGTGTGTCTGACCCACCCAATCGACGTGCCATCAATTCAGCTCTCTAAACATCTCCTACTCCAGCTCTGACTAATAAATGAATTATCATTGAACCAAGTGACCTTAGTTAAGAAGGATACTAGTCCATATATAGATATAGATACTGTGGTGAGTTCATCACTCTTAAATCCACAGTGGCAGGGACACCCACTGGGCCCACTAATGCTAGAAATAAAGGAAAAGTTTTCCTGTCACAGTAGAATCAGCTCTCCATCATTCCTTACCCGAACAACAGCTGCATGAGTCCAGGGGGAAAGTAGATGCCATCCAAGAATAGATGTTTGAGAGAGTTGAGTTTGCAGAACTGAGAGAGAAACTGGGCAGCACACATCTCCTCTGTTTCTGCCAAGTTATTTACAACCGTGTTTGAGTTCAAGAAGATGTGAGTTAGACGGCATTTCCGAAGTCCTGTCATAAGGCCTAGGTGAGGTGCAATGTGACCCAGGAAGGGCAGAACCTGGTTTGTGGATAGCTCCAATTCCTGGATATTGTCTGGTAGGAAAATGTCCAAAACCTCCTTGAGAATCTCTCGAGGGAAGTCACAAATCGTCATCTTCACACAGCACAGCTGCACACAGTCTTTCCTCTGCTGGGCCCACTTCAACAAGCATGTTTGGTCTTGCTTAAGGTGGAACCTGAGGCTAAGGTCAGTGACCACCTTCAAATCCCACCTCAGCTCGTTGCATACTCGTGCATTACTTTCTGTCTCTATTGAGTAGTACCAGTCTCTGCCAGGCCATACATCCCAGAAATCCTGGTTCACATTCCTCAAGTCAAGTACTTGAGGCCTCCAACATCTGTGAGGAAAATGGTACAATTTCATAATGTAAACTAGGACCCCTGTGAGACAGCCTCTGTTCAACTACTCTATTGTCAGCTCCAACATAACCCTCACACCTGCCAGCCAAGGACTCTGCCTGAATTTCATCTGGAGACCTTTCCTGCTTACCTCCATTCAATTACTCTAGACTTGTGTCTCTTCAACATAAAGTGTAGGAAAGCTGGTCCTTGGTGTCTAATGCCTTTAAACCTAGCACTAGGGAGAAAGAGGCAGGCTGATCCTTGTGAGTTTGAGAACAGCCTTGTATACAAGTGCTAGTTCCTGGACAACCTCCAAAGCCACAGAGAAACACTGTCTCAAAAAACAAACCATAAAAAAGAAAGAAAAGAAAAGAAAATGAACCCCCTCAAAAAACCAGAAATACCCCCAAAACTTATAGTGTCTGTAGGAGAGCCAGCAAAAGCTCATTCCAGTGTGGCTTCATCTATTCTGAGCTCTCCTCCACTCCTGTCATTGCATGAACTCTCTACATGAGTAGAGCTCCACAGACCTACAAGTGGATGACACCAGAATCCGATGTCCACTATGACCGCATTCTCCCGGCCCTTATATTTATCTTACCTATAACTCAGCAACTCCGATTTTATATACTTTGACCTTACTTACCTGGGACGAACCTTCTGTGTCTGCAGAATATCTACACCATCTAGAACAGCTTGCAACAACTCCACATCTGGTGTCTTCATCAAGGCCCCCACAGGAAGGTAAGAAAATGGCCAGGCAGCCAGCAATGCCTTCAATAGCTCCATGTGTCTACCAGTGAAGGCTTCCTTGAAAAGTAGTGGGAAGAGACTAATGGGCAGGTACTCCAGAGCAGAGATGGTTGAGGCCTCGTTCCGCAGCAGGCTCTGTACTGCCAGCTCTTGGAGTGTGGTTGGGTTGTAGATGCTCATTCTGATAGATCTTGAGTCAGAAAGAACCCTGTAACACAATTAGAGAGACATTGTTTTCTACTTATGTTTTGGGAATTCCCACTTCTCACACATTGCAGGAACTAGAGGCTCAGAGTCTTTTGTCTGTGAATAATGGAGAACTCAGTTTGCCTTATTACATACCATCTGGTGGTGTGAAGTCCAAACTTCCAACACTCTCCTCATGTGGAGTCTCTAAACGCCCTCACACAGACACAGATTTATCATTATCCCCCCAGGTACCCCTCCCACTAGGTACCTACCCCTTCTCTTCTATTTGGAAATATCCAGGAGCATACAGACCGACCAAACCAATGTTACAGGAAAAGGCACTGACCATCTTTCCAGGTGGTCAAGAAAATACATTGCTGATATCACACAGCCAACCCACCTGTATTATGCTTTCACTAAACTGATCCCTCTTGAGAAGGAGTGGGGAGAATTTGTGAAATGCCTGTTAGAACATGGTACTGATAAAGGCTTTAGAAACAGACTGCAGATGATGGACTTATACTAATTCAGGAAATGAGGTAAAAGGTCTTTAAATTAGTTGGGGATTAGTTGCCCACGCCTTTAATCCCAGCACTCATGAGGCAGAGGCAAGCAGATGTCTGTGAATTTGAGGCCAGCCTGGTCCACAGAGCAAGTTCCAGGATAACCTCCAAACAACACAGAGAAACCCTGTCTCGATAAACCAAAAAAAAAAAAAGACTTTAAATTCACAAATTCACAGTTATCTAACTGCCCAATCAAACCATGTCTGAAATGTAAGAATTTGTCTTACATTTCCAACACCACAGGAAAGCCATGCTATTGAATGATAGCACTTCTATAATGAGAATCTTAGATGAGAAACCAAGTAAACAGAGTCTACATGGACAGAGATTTTCCTGTGATGCATTGGGGTCTAGAGGAAGAAAGGAGATGACACAAAAATGGCTACCAATATTTTTAAAATTATTTTAATTTTACATAGCTTGTTTTACATATCAATCTCAGTTCCCTCTCCCTCCCCTCCTTCCATACCCCCCCAGCATCCCCCCCATTCTCCCACCCTATTGCCAATTCCTTCCACATAGGTGATATCTAGAGTCTGTCACTTCACTCTGGGTAGGGTCCAGGCACTCCCCTAAGAGTCCAGGCAGAGAGAGCATTCCTCTTTGTCTTATGGACACACGATGTCTGTTAGTATTCCAGGAATAAACACTAATCCACTGCTCAGTGCCCCATAGGTTGCCCAGGCCTCCTCACTGACTCTCACATTCAGGGGGTCTGGATCAGTCCCATTCTGGTCTTCCAGCTGTCTGTCTGGGGTCCAAGAGCTCACCCCTGTTCAGATCAGCCGTCTCTGCTGGTTTTGTCAGCCCATTCTTTGCCAATGTCTACCAAAATTTTTAAGTTTTATTTTCAATTTACATGTGGAATATATTACAAGGGTATACATACTAACTCCAATTTGATAATGAGCCTAGAAATCTGTACAAAGCCAGTGAATCAATCTAGAGTACAAGGCCAGTCTTTTCTATTTTGACCCTGTCTCTAAAAACTCAAATGAGCCTAAGACACTGACATGTAAATTCCTGTGTAATGATCATTTATCATTAAAACCAAAGTACACTGATGTAAACATATTAAATTGTGTCCTTTGAATTTCAAAGCCATTATTTGGAAATCGCTTAGATGGTGATAAGAGTAGACCAGCAAGTACTAGGTCTTCTGATGGATGTGGGTGACTTACCTGATATGGACACAGAGTATGGACCTCCTATTGCAAGCAGTGTCAAGCAAAGACTTTAGGCTCAGGACTCCTCAGCACAGTCAAACAGTGACTCCAGGCTTCAGGACTCTGAGATTCTACCAGGTCCCCTCTTCCCATTATATACCTCCCAACTCACTCCTCCCATGAAGCCCCACCCCTCTTCAAAAACGCCTATCTGATTGGTCCACTTAATCCTGTTAAGGATTTATTTTCTTCTACAGCAGATTGATTGAATCTGACCTATCCTGTGAAAACAAAAACATTAAATCCAAAAGTCAATATTCCAACTGTGGATAGAATTACTTATTTTGTGTCGATTTTCATGCATATATAGATACATATGTGTACATATAAAATAATATACATATATATATACATATTTATGTGTGTGTGTGTGTGAGAGAGAGACAGACGGAGAGAGAGTGATTTTAGTGCCTATGTGTGTGTTTTATTTTCAGAGTATTTGATCGTGTAAGAAGTTTTACGGTAACAAAAGACTACAATATTAGCTTTTGTCTCAAAACAAAAAACTAAAAACCAAACACAAAACAAAAACACAACCCATGAATATGTTGCAGATAAGAAAGAATGAGATATGTGTTAGAAACTGGAGAGCTCCCTGTCAGGAAGCTTAGTTAGGATGATGACTTGATCAAGGACTTTAGAATCATCAAGAGTAAAATGGACACTATCTCAAAGTGAAAATCAACAGCAAAGCATGAAGGGATGGAGATAAAACAAACCCTAATCTTTAATTCCCTTGTATTATCCTGGATGGGGTACATACTCTGCATCTTGTCACTCTAGAAGTTGAGGCAGGAGGATTTCTGTGAATTTCAGGCCAACCTGATCCACACAGTGAGAAACTGCCAAATAGCAACATCAAATTTAAACAGAAAACAGTCATGCTTTTCTTGAAGAAAACAGTAGAAACCAAGTGCCTCAAATGGTCTTTTAGTACAAATCCCTTACCCAGCAACACCTTATGGGCACTTGCTCCAAGGGTGAATACCTGAATTTGATGTGTGGAATCCAGGAATACAGACTCCTGAATGTTTCCTCTGAACTCCACATGGGCACCATGGCAAATGCCTCCACACCTATAATTAATTTATTAATGATTTAATGAAGATTGCCTGGAGAATCAAAATTCAAAGCCAACCATACTAGTTAGCTATAGAATCTGGGCAGAGTTGGCACACACCTTTAATCCCTGAACTCCGGAGACAAAGACAATTGGGTCTCTGTGAGTGACAGGACACCCAGGGCTACACAAATGTGAGTCAATCTAAAAGACAAACAGCTCACATAAGGTGACCTCCGCACTTGATATCACAGGCCTTTAATCCCAGTCATAGAGAGTTACCAAAAGTAAAGAGTCTCAGGTGGAGACTTAGTCTCAATCCATTTTGATGAGAGGCAGCAGTCTGAGGCTTGGAGGAGAGATCCTGGAGACAGGATCAGCCTTCAGCCTGAGATAGAAGTAAGAGCTAGTGGCTTGGCTACTTTGCTTCTCTGGCCATCCACTTGAAGCTTGACTCCCATATTTGTCTCTGGATCTTTTTTGTTTGTTTGTTTGTTTTTCGAGACAGGGTTTCTCTGTATTGTTTGGAGGCTGTCCTGGAACTTGCTCTGTAGACCAGGCTGGCCTCGAACTCTCAGAGATCTGCCTGGCTCTGCCTTGTGAGTGCTGGGATTAAAGGTGTGTGCCACCAATACCCGGCTGTCTCTGGATCTTATATTTATTCTTGTTACATTGAATTTCCTTTCCCAACAGGAGGGAAGCTCTAGGCTGGGACAGGTCTCTATGATATCTGCTGGGCACATGTGCATGACTGTCACCTCCACAGACATGGGGAGAGGGCTGTAATATCAGAGTTTGATGTCACTCCTGATATAAGTAGGTTTTTCTCCAGTGTGAAAATCAACAGGTACTCTAACAATAAAGGGAAGGAAGGAACAGAGGGAAGAAAGGACCAATTGTTACATCAAGGCACCTTGAGAGAAAAAAATCAGGAACAATGTTCCAATTAGAAATCAAATGAAGCTGAGAAAGTTGGTACACACCTTTAATCCTAGTCTTTAATATCAGCACTTGAAAGAAGGAGGCAAGCAAATCTGAGTTCAAGGCCAGCATCATCTGCATAGTGAGTTCCAGGAGAGCCAAAGCTACATAGTAAGACCCTGTCTAAAATAAATTAATTAATTAATTAAATAAAGGAAAAGGACAGACAGACAGACAAACAGATCAGTCTCATGTCACCATATTTAGCATGGATCTTTACATGGGGAGTCATCCTGTTGGCCCATCCAGATTGATTTTTAAGAACCATGTAAGCATTTTATGAATAAGGTACTGATATAGTTTTCATGCCATATTCTTCCACCTCCAATTACTCTGTTGCCCCCCAATTCCTTCCTCACTTCCACGACTCCTTCTTTAGTAATTACACACACACACACACACACACACACACACACAACTGTAAGTACATACTATCAATCAGCTTTAGTGTTGCTCATACACACAAATTTCGGGAAGAATTCGGGGTGGATATGCAATCAGGGAGCTTGTCCCAAATGAGTGATTCTCCCTCTTTTAGCAACTCTTTAATTCCTGCATTTTTTTATTCTTGGCTGAGGCCTTGTGAGACTTTCCCAAACAGGTTGGGTTGTCTGCTGGTCTTGTCAGTGTGCAGGTCTTGTTTAGGTGACAAAGTGGTTACAGTTAGTTGTGTGCAGCTCTGTCTCATAAATAGAGAACACTACCTCACATTAGACATCACAATCCTCTGGCTCTCAGAGTCTTTCTGCCCCATTTTCCTGTATGATCCATGAGCCTTAGGTTTAGGTCAATTTTCTCAATGCATTAATTGATGGGAACTCCACTATCATTTCTTCACTCCTTTTTCATCATTATGGATTCCTGTGATGGACTCCATCTACTTCAAACAAACAAACAAACAAACAAACAAACAAACATCTTTTTTGCTATGGACAAGACAGGATAAGGGCTACACTCATCTATAATATGAGGATGGCTTCTTAGAGAACAGGTGGCCTTATGCTGGCATAGAAGTGGAGCAGTAGTAGGTTCTCCTCTGGGGTACATAATCACTAGCCACTGGGTGTTGCTTATCTTTCTACCACCAGACAAAAACTCCACTCCAATGAGAAGACCAGAAGTCCAATTAGGTAGCTGTCAGTCACCCCTGAAATATGA